ATGGAGTAGCACTTTCCCTTCTCTCTGTGTGTATTTGTGCATATCTCCTCTTGGGCTTTTATTATTCCCCATTTTTTACATGTATAATTTAATTATATTATATCAATGCTTTTGTTATTTTGTTCTTTTAATTTTTTGAGAGATTTTTGCTCTAGGCCATGTGCGCTCACTGGAGAGACAGAGGGACAGAGAGCGAGAAATCACCCCCCAGGGGGGATGAACATGTCACAATTCCTTTTCCTCCATTCTCCTCTCAGGATCTTGAGCATGCACACACATGCACCCGGCCTGAGTTTTTAAGTCACCAGGTCCAGGACTCGAACTAAGGTCAACTACACGGGAGTCCAGCAATGTAACCATGACATCATCTGCTGGTCCCTATTTTGTTATTTTGATTTACAATAAGCATTTTCCATTGCAAACAATTTAATGGCTGTATAATACTCTATCATGTTGATAAATCATAGTTGTTTTAACTACTTCCATATTGAGATTGGACTGATAAAAACATAAAAGTAAAATTTACGAAACGAAATAGGAGTACTATCTAAGGAATGACCTACACAAGTATAAGCTTATGCTATTTAAATAGCAGAGAATTAATTAATATGCTCTCTGCTTTTGTGTGCTTTTTGAAACTAAGTGCAAACCAAAGGCTATACAGTAAAAGAGAAGTTATTTCCAGAACCTCGACCTTGCAAGAGAAAAAACTACAGGACACTGCCTTACCTTCTTATTCAAATTTGAGATCTTTCTTAAATCTCACAAACTACATTCCCAAAACATGTAAGCAATACATGAAAGAAAGTCACTTGGTAGGACTATGTTATCTTTACATACACAGTTTTAAAATGTGTTATCTAAAATAGCTTGAAAACCAGACTATTGTGATTAAGTATTCTAGTAAAAATTGCAATGTAACAATCTATATAGATTATAAATTTTCAAAGAACTAGAATATGAAGAAATACAATTTACATTAACCATGAGGTTTAAAAAAATACAGTAAATTTTTATCACTTTCTTTTTAATACAGGGTCTTCCTGTTCCAATCCTCCTCAGTCCCAGTTGGGACTGCAGGTGGATGACACCATGCCTGCTACTCCTTAAGGCAAGGTCTGGGTGCATTGTCCAGCCCAGTCCCCAACTTGTGACCTTCCTGCCTCAACCTCCTGTGTAGCTAAGATTATAGGTGCATGCCACTATGCCTGGCCTGGATCAACTTTTAAACTGTAACATTTGATGATTCAGGAAGCTATTTCCTATCATGGCCATGCTCTTCTATCATTCTGTTAGCAGGTATTTCACCTTCCTGACAGCTGAACAGCTCTTCCTTAGGATGCCTCCAACCCTATGCTGTGCCTTTTATTTTAACTGACAAAAATGATATTTATGGCATACAATGTTATGTTATATGTATATATTATGAAATAACTGAAGTAAGATGGTTAACATATCTATTACCTCATACTTATTTGTATGGCTGTGGCTTTTTGATGTTCTATGAGCTGCCTTGTATTATAAAGTCATTTTGTAAATCTACTTCCTTCATTGCATTGAAAGTTGTTTTGCTTTGTTTTTTTTTTTTTTTAAGTTTGTTATAAAGCACATGGACTCACCAGAGAGAGAGAGAGAAAGAGAGAGAAATCACCTCCTGGGTGATTGCCATCCCACAATACTTTCTTCCATTGTCCTCTCAGGATTTGGGGCACATGCACCCAGTGTGTATTTCAAGCTACTAGGTCTGGGACTTGAACTGCGCAATCAGTCATGTAAGATTCAGCTGCCTTAACCACCATGCCACTGGGTGTCCTGCACTGTAAATTTCTATAAGGCACAAACATTGCATTTGCCACCTACACAGCATCTTGCAGAGTGCTTGCACACAGTGGACACTCAGTATACCTAAAAAACATTTAAAACTAGTTTCTCCCCAAATGGATTTGAGGGTTAAAACAAATACCTATAACAACTGTAATTGTCCAGTAAATTACGCAAACAGTAAAGTAACGATGCAACAGACACCCAATCATTGATGACAAATTTACTGAAAACTTATTTTGTAGCAGATCACATGCCAAGTGCTTATAAAATTAGTTCTCAAAATTCTCAAAATAGTCAGTAAAGTAGGTGGTATGATATTTACAGAGAACTGATAGTGATTAAATCATATGTTCAAATATTTGTTGAGTACCTACAATATTTTCCAATCTTAATTATCTATTTGCCTGCCAATTGGAGGATACCAGTCACATTTAGTCCTAACTGCAGGTACTTCCTTTGCCAACCTCTATAAAGGTGTGTGCTTGTGTGTGTGTGTGTGTGTGTGTGTGTGTGTGTGTATGGGGGATGGGAGTTATCAGGCCATGTACCTTTTAGGTTATATGCTCTCATCTTCATTACAGAATCTTAAATTATCTTCACTCTGGTTGTTAAGAGACATGCATTTATATCTCAGAATTTCTGCTCTTAGGTTGTGGCCAATTGATAATGACCTTGAACTCTCTGTCTGGGACTCATCGAAAATCTTGTGAGAATATTGTTCTTGTGGGGAACCAGTAGTTAGCATAATGGCTATGTCACTGGACTCCCACGTAGTCGACCGTGGTTCGTGTCCCGGACCCGGTGACTTAAAACTCACACCGGGCGCGTGTGCGTGCGTGTCCAAGATCCTGAGAGGACAATGGAGGAGAAGGGATTGTGGCATGGCCATCCCCCCTGGGGGGTGATTTCTTGCTTTCTGTCTCTATGTCTCTCTCTGTCTGTCTGGCGAGTGCACGCGCCCTATAGCAAAAACCTCTCAAAAAAAAAAAAAAAAGAAAAGAAAAGAAAAAGAAAAAAAAAGAATATTGTTCTTGTGGACAGCCTAAAAGATGTGCACACAAAACTACTGCCACAAATTAAGGATGCTAGACAAATTGTCTGTAGCCACATGCTCATCCTGTACCCACAATAGATATTGTTAGTGTTATCACAGAACTTTTTCCTTCTGAACATTCACTCAGCCACAAAACTTCCCTATTCAGTTATTCAGCCAGCTAATATGAGTGGATGGGAGTTGAAATGTGAATTGAAACTTATCTGCCTGATATCACTGGGAAAGATGATCTAAATGCTACCCTGAATTAAGCCAGACCATTGAGGACTGTGTGCTCAGTTGAGCAGGAAAGTGTAGATGGTTCATAAAATTGATTTAACGTACTGTGCTTTGTGATTGTGGCAACAGTTTACATCGAAGGGATCTGTTGGTAACTCCTTATGACGCGTGTGCTCCACTCAGCTCACAGCATCATCATAAGCACAAAGACAAATCTGGATTCTCCTCAGGTTTACAAATTAAGAAAAATTGCTTCTCAAAAACAAACAAAGCCCTGAGTAGTTTTTATGAACAATGTAAGACCTTAAAATAATTGTTATTTTCTCTTTTCTAGGACCATTCAGAAGCTTGGAGTTACACCTCTTGCTGACTTTCAACAACTGTTCTTGACTCAATGACGCTGCATGCTCAGAGTCAATCTTAACTTTGGCTACACTATTTATCCTTTATCACTGAGTGGTGTTCCCTCTGAGTCCTTCAGCTATATGTTTTATTCAGTGTTGTCTACATTTTGATGAACTGCCTCAAATCATTTGTTGAAAAAAGTGGAAGGATAACTAATGCCATAAGATCAATGCAATAACTTATATAAGCTGTATCTGGCCCCATTTCCTGTGAGTTTTTCTTTTCAGGCAAAAAAAAAATAAAGGCTTTTGAAACATTTTATGTAAATAAGATAGAGCTCCCTGGGCAAGGGTGGACTTAATAGAAATGTTTTGTTGAAAACTGCTCTTTACTCTGCTTCTTCTTGCTGAACACGGTGAAAGTTCCCACTTTCATCAAGATAGAATTGGATGGATGGTGAGAAGGGAACTCTTATACTTTATATGTGAAAATAAAATTTGATTGCTGGCATATGTAGATTATATATAGCAAATCGTACTGCCATGGTGGGAAAAATTATAGCCCTATTTACCAGTGGAAAGGGCATACTTTCAATGAAGATTTATTAAGAAATTATTGTGTAACGGGCTGTGGTTAAGTACCATGAAAGTGGCTTCCTATGTTTGTTGCCAAAAAATATTCCTGCTATTATCAACAGACCAGCACTTACCAAGTCCCTTTTCATCTATCAACCTCTTTGCCACACCATATTTAACTTTCTCCTGATTTCTTATTCTGTCCAAACCCAAATGGGGAACTTCAGGCTGCAAATTTGTTGAGGGTTATCTTACTTGTCAATGAATCGTAGTACTCACTGAATCTGTTTTGAATGAATCAATCAATTAATGACTCTTAGAAAGTCATTCCTCCAGGGGTGTCCATTCCGAGATTTCTGGATGGTACAGAAAAGATAGTAAAAACCTCACTTTTTTCCTTGTGGTCCCAGAACTGTGAATGAAGGGAGCGAAAATGAGTAATCTGGAAGCAGGAGGCTGCTAGCAGAGGTCTAAGTGAGGTGGTGTCTGGTCTGGCCCTAGACCACTTGAGAGCACAACAGGAAGTAGACTGAGCTTACTCCACACATCCCCCTAACATATAGTCTATTGGAGGGCTGGAAGGAACATGCTTCCAGTTAGTCCCCAGGTCGGGTTAAATGACATGAAACAGTTCCACCATTAGCCCATCCATCCTACTTCTACCCAGTTTCTGCTTATCACTTGTAATATTTAGAGATGGAAGAAACATTTAAGAAAGTCATTTTTTAGAGGACAGGCATCTACAGGCTCGTATTACTCTATAAATACTACTGACTTCCAAGCCTGGGACTTGGACAGTTTTTTCTGGAGACCTATGGGTCCCACCTACTCATTCCTGGTTTCCCAGGACCAAGCCTCACACTTACAGGGAGTACAGGGAAGTAGACCTTATGTGAGAGACAAGGCCAGAGTGAAAAGGAAAGCGGGACCTGGGAATCTAGGGCGTGGCCGGGATCTAACAAAGACAAATGCGCATGCGCGGCATGACCTTGGCCAATGCGGCTCCGCGGCTCAGTCAGGCGTGTGGTCAGGAAGGCCGCCAGGGTTTGCCACACTGGAGGGATGTGGCACACAGGAGAGGGGATGTGATGCCAAGTAGAGACCCGGCCCGAAAAGAGGTAGGGGCGCTGGCTACTGTGGGAACGGCCCTGCCAATGAGGAGCGCAGACAAGGCCTGGAGGAAGAGGCGAGGGGCAGGCGTACCGCAGAGGCGAGACCTCAAGGGCTGGGACTTAGCCCGGGCGTGAAGGGCGTGACAAAAGATGGTCGAATGGAAGGGCGGTGCCAGGCATATGGCAGCGGAGTTACCAGAGTGGAGAGCAGAGACGTAGGCACAAACGGGAGAGCTCGGGCACAGGAACCGCCACCAAGGCGGAAGTTCAGACTTAGCCCCGAAGGAAGCCAAACGGGCAGGGGCGTGGCCTCGACGAGCGAAATGACGTGTATCAGCATGAGGGGCGTGGCGAAGAGGAGGGGGCGTGGCCAAGACGGCCCCGCGTAGGGAGACTGGATTCCCCGTAGTGAACCAAACCGAACAAGGTCAAGGTTTAGGGAAATCTGGGCAAGGGCAGCAGGCGATGTGGAGCGACCCTTCTCCACGCTAGCCCTGTTTTTTCACTATGAGGATCACCAGACATTGACTTAGGATTCTGCCCATTTAAATATAGAACAGCTGTCCCAGAAATTTTGGCAAATTCAGGTTGCAGTTCCAGGAAACAAGGCACAGCAAGCTAAGCTGGCTCTGGGGTCTGCGTTGTTGACTTCCCTTTTGAGTGTGCCTGCACTCTTACCTGCCTTCAGGTACTATGAAGGTAATGGATTGAAAATGTATTAGCGGTCTGTAAATCTTGAGACTGAAATGGGATGAGGTGGTTTTTGATCTCATTGAGACATAACGTACTAAAAAGGATACATTTTCACAAACAGAAAACTAAACAGACGTGATTTAGCTTTGGTTTCAAAATTCTCACACCTGTTGTGCAATGCAGACATACTTTAGGTGTCACTGATTGTTACGAGTTTGATTTTGTTCCTCGTCCCTCCCATTCTTTTTTTTTTTTTCCTTTTTTTTTTTTGGAGACGTTTTTGCTATAGGGCGCGTGTGCTTGCCAGACAGACGGAGACAGACAGAGAGACAGAAAGCGAGAAATCACCCCACAGAGGGGATGGCCACGCCGCAATCCCTTTTCCTCCATTCTCCTCTCAGGATCTTGGGCATGCATGCACACGCGCCCGGCGTGAGTTTAAGCCACCAGGTCCAGGACTCGAACACAGTCAACTATGTGGGAGTCCAGCAACATAGCCATTACACCAACTGCTGGTCCCTCCTTCCCATTCTTAAGTTTAGGTTTTAAGTGCCAGTACCTCAGAATGTGATTATTCTAGAAATAATCAAGTGAAAATGAGGTCATTGGGGTGGTTCTTAATCCAAAATGACTTGTATTCTTAATTAAAGGGGAAATTTGGAAATAGACCTGGTTGAGAAGACACTATGAAGATTGGAGTCAGTAGCCACAAGCCAAGGAACTATCAGAAACAAGATATATTAGTCAGGGAACCAATAGGGAGTGTGTGTGTTTATATGATGAGATTTATTATAAGGAATTTGCTCACCATTAGTGTGGGAGCTGGCAAGTTTGAAATTCGCAGGGCAGGACCGCAAGCTGGAGACACAGGAAGAGTTGATGTTGCAGCTCAAGTCCAAAGGCAGTCTGGAGGTAGAATTTTCCCTTCTTCAGAGGACCTTAGTCTTTTTTCATTTACTTGTTCTTTTTTTTTTTTTTTTAGAGGTTTTCACTATAGGGCGCGTGCGCTTGCCAGACATAGAGAGACATAGAGACAGAAAGTAAGAAATCACCCCCCAGGGGGGATGGTCACGCCACAATCCCTTCTCCTCCATTCTCCTCTCGGGATCTTGGGCACGCATGCACACGCGCCCGGCGTGAGTTTTAAGCCACCGGGTCCGGGACACGAACCGCGGTCGACTACGTGGGAGTCCAGAGACATAGCCATTACGCTAACTGCTGGTTCCCAGTCTTTTTTCATTTAAAACTAAACTGATATGATGAGGCTCACCCACATCATGGAGAGTGATCTGGTTTGCTCAAAGTTTACTGACATAAATGTTAATTTCATCTTCAAAATACCTCCACAGCGACATTTAGATGTATTTGACCAAAATTGGGGGATACTATGGCCTAGCAAAGTTGAAAAATAAAATGAACCATCCAAGAAGAAAGGCCTGGGATAGATCCTTCACATCCCTCAGAAGGAACCAACCCTGTCAGCATCTTTGATCTGAGACTTCTATCCTTGCTTCCTGTCCACCAGAACCATGAGACAATGAATTTCTGTTGTTGAAACCACCCAGTCTATGGTACTGCATTATAAACTGATACAGTGGCTCAAAGACATCACGTAGGGCACTCGGTATGGAGATAAGGATCTTCCTGAGGATTCACTAACTTCCTACTAGCCCCTTGATGTGATGACCACGTAGCTCCGCCTCTTTGAGTTCAGTGTGTACATTAGCAAAGACGTACAGACACCAAGCACATGGCACTGGGCAGAAAGACTGGCTGCTTGTCCTGTTGTGCTTCATTTCACAATACACTTGGAGGTGATTTTCTCTCCCTTCACTTAGGCAAGGCCTGCTCCCCTCTGGCTCAGACAAAGCAGGGTCAGGGGCAGCAGTAGAGAGAAGAACTAGTTCACGGCCAGTTACTAGAAGGATGCTCATAAAGTGAGGGGAGGGTGAAATCCCAACACCTGCCTCCCTGCCCAGCCTTGCTGGTAGCTGGGATCCTGGAATGCCTTTTTTTGTATCTTACAGCTTCTTGGAAAGGTGATGTGAAGAGATAAAGTTCATATGTGCAAGTGGCATGTGTCTTTAGTGCCCCTCTACTTCTCTTTCTGTGACTTTTAGCACCCCCACCCCCATACACAATACATGGCATGGTCATCCTGCTGAGAGTCATCCTTTGGGCAGAATCTGGGGAATACAAGCACCCCTCCCTCTGTGAGCTGGTTTGCTGTGTGTTCCCCTTCCCACATTGTATACATTTCAAGAGGCCCCTACTGGGAGAAGTTGTGCATCTGGAAGGCAGAGTGCAAACCTGGTCTTTTTTTTTTTTTTTTTTTTTTTTGGGGTTTTTTCTACAGGGGGGGTGCTACAGGGTGTGTGCACTCGCCAGAGAGACAGAGAAAGACAGAGAGACAGGAAGCAAGAAATCACCCCCCAGGGGGGATGTCCACACTGGAATCCCTTCTCCATTCTCCTCTCGGGATCTTGGGCACTCACGCACATCCACCCCGGCGTGAGTTTAAGCCACCGGGTCCAGGACTCGAACCATGGTCAACTACATCAGAGTCCAGCGATGTAGCCATTACACAAACTGCTGGTCCCGCTAACCTGGTCTTAAACAATAGTGTTGATATGAACGTGCTTACTGGCACGATTCCCATCCTGGTGATACGAGTTTAGGTTCATGTTTGTGTTGGTTCCTCTTTCACATCAGGCAGGACTTCAGGTTCCTGCAGATCTTATGTATAAGCTGGTAAGTGTGGTGAGATGCTGGAGGCAGGCAGAGAAAGCTGGGTGGCAATTAGCCAGGCACATGTGAAGGGGCGGTTTGCACAGATTGGGTGGAATGGCAAGAGTTGGGAAAAACTGAAGTCTATGTGGCTGGTGGGCTGGGAGGAGTACAAAGTGGTTGTGAGACAGAGCAAGTGAGTCTGTCCTAGGGTGACCTGTGTCTTTGTGGAATAAGAATGATAAACTGTTTACTCTCACCTGCCCTCTTGCTTATTTCAGAGTGTGCACACCTTATCTCAGTGTCCATGATCCTAATTCTTTTGTTCACAGCTTTTCCTCCTCTGCCCTCCTCCCTCTAGGTTTTAGGCTCCTGCAAGTTATTTGGAAGCTGTCAGAATTTCAAGAGGAGGATGGTAGTGCTCAACAGCCTGAGGGCCATTCTTCAAGCATCTTCATGCAGATGGCTGTGGCGAAGTTTCCAGATTCTGAGGTCCACACCAGTGAGGCGCTGCAGCCTCTATACCTGCACTTACAAAACCTGGAACTGGACCCGTGAGTACCCCATTGCTTAAAACTCAGGCTGGGCGTGTGTGTGTGCATGCCCAAGATCCTGAGAGGAGAATGGAGGAGAAGGGATTGCAGCGTGACCATCCTCCCTGGGGGGTGATTTCTCACTTTCTGTCTCTCTGTCTATCTCTGTCTCTCTGGAGAGCGCACGCGCCCTATAGCAAAAACCTCTCCAAAAAAATTTAAAAAGCTATGAGAATAATTCTTTGTTTCTCTATTTGTTCATTAAATAAAGGTAGAGAGTTCCCTTTTTTTTAAAAGAAAAAAGTTTGTTTATATTTATTAACGATAGTGTATGCATGCAAGAGAGAGAGGAACACCCTTGACAGAGTCTTGTTACACCAAGATCCCCTTTCTCCAGTCCTCCAGCTCCTCAGACTCTTGGGCACTTATATGCATGTTCCTGACTTAATTTCAAGCCAACTTGGGGATCTGACTCTGTGGTTACCCATGTGTCTTCCAAAACTGCTGTTAGGTTTGATACATACTGCACCACCAGGCTCAGCCAGAAAGTTCTTTCTTGGCCTTTTAAAAATGTTAACATGATGTTATGCAGAAACTGTACAGGAGAGATGTTTAGTTTCAGTTATTTTGCAACCTGTTCTTACTGTTTCTTGTTAGCAATTTTATTTAAGTTAAAGTTGATCTAGACTGCAGGGGATTTCTGTGGGATCTTAAATTTCTGGAACTTGTAGGTTAATGTGTAGGTAGCTTCGTGCTCCAGAATATTGCGTTCTGAATTATGAATTACAGAGTTAATTCTAGCTGATCAGTGTGCGCTTTGCTGTTAACATGGAAGATCAAGTGAGGTAGCATATGGTCTTCCTCAAATCTCTCACATTTCATTCCCCTCCTAGAAATACAAGGTACTGGGACCAGTTCCATGGCCTAGTGGTTAAAGAGCTGGATCTCACATGGCCTACTGCATGGTTCAAATCCTGGTTCTAGCAGCTTGAAAAGTAATGGGCACTTGGACTCAGAAATCACAGCTTGATGCGGTCTTTAGCCCATGCACAAAAGGACAAAAGTGGCAATTTAGGAACTAGCAGTTAGCGTAATGGCTATGTCGCTGAACTCCCATGTAATCGACCACGTTTGAAGTCCTGGACCTGGTGGCTTAAACTCACGCTGGGCGCTTGTGCGTGCGTGCCCAAGATCCTGAGAGGAGAATGGAGGAGAAGGGATTGCGGCGTGGCCATCCCTCTGGGGGGTGATTTCTTGCTTTCTGTCTTTCTGTATCTCTCTGTCTCTCTGGCGAGTGCACGCGCCCTATAACAAACACCTCTCAAAAAAAAAAAAAGTGACAATTTAGGGAAACTGCTGAGTGGCAGAACACAGAATTAAAGGGGTGTGAGAGAGGAGGAAAAGCCACCAAGGGGCTCATCATGAAGGCTGGGGGCGAAAGGGGCAGGAACTAGGCTAGTGGGTATGGGCAAGGCAAGGAGGAGAGGAGATATAATGTGAAAAGTCAGATAATACGAAATGAAACAAAAGGAGACTCCACCTTCCTAGGGATACTCTTCATCTTACTCATTCCATCTACAAGTAGTGACTACAAGCCAGTTTGCTTGGGGGGGGGAGGCAGATGATAAAGCACATATGCAGACATTTATACCTGTGCCCATATAATAGTGGTACAAAGGAGAAAATGAGAGTACTATGATTAAAAATAATAATGTTCTGATTAAAATATAGTAGTACAAGGGATCATGTAATAAGAGGGTAGTCAGAGAAGCCAGTAATAGGACCGAGCACCAAGCAGAATGAAAGAGAATTCAGTTCCAGCAAAGGAGCAGGATCAGGAGTGGAGGGGCTAAGGCAGAAATGAGCTTGCCACATTTGAAGAGCTGAGGGACACAGAGCGATGCTGGAGAAACTGGCAGTATAGGCATAACATAAAGCTTAGTCATGTAAGAACTAAAACCAAGTACATCTTCACCATGAAATCTAAAGGGGTTTTGTTGCTCATCAGCGACAGATTACTGTCACCTTTTTCATGCCAGTATGCCTTTAGTCACTTAAGTCATGGTTGATAGAACCACTGCCTCTCCATTTATTTCACTTTCTATATCTAAGAAACACTGAACATGAAGCCTCCATTAGTCAGAACACTTAATCATCTTCCTGTTTTGAGGGAAAGTATGACAACTACCAAAAAATCATTTCAATGTGTATTTTATTAAAATAGAGAAGGGGAGGGGGAACCAGGGAAGCCCTTTGCAAAAAGCTGACTTCACTAAGGGGGCAGTGACTAGTCACCCCCCCACACACCCCCAGTGGGGGGCTGGACTGTGTTAATAAAGGAAAAAGGTAGGAAGGGGAAAGAAAACCCTCTGGAAGCTGAACTTGAAAAGGAAGGGCATAAATTGCTAGTGGGATTATTATCATGAAAGCAAGTGAAGGAATAGGCCCAATGTTCTTGGGCTGGTATTTGCATGGGTGTGAGATTTGAGATTTGATGTTTTTCTACTTCCTGGATGAAGTGAGGATTGATTAAAGGTGACTGAGGGCATCATCTGAGGGGCCTGATCATTATCCCAGTCCTTCCCTAGTCTTCACAGGAGACCCTCATTACCTGGCCTTGAAGAATATGAATTCTGCAGTTACTGGCCACAGTCTGAATATCTCAGAAGAAAAGACGTTTGCATATCTTTAAAAGAAAATCAGATCCCTTCAGGGACTTTATAGAAGCAGATTATGACATTAAAATATCATGCCAGTTCAAATGCACTTCTATTTTAGCTTCCTGAAACAGGAAATTTGTATGATTCTCAAAGGAGCAAGTTGTCCTACACTAAGAAAAATAAATATAAACATTGAATCAGATCTCTCCAAAGATAAAACAATACTGTGTTATAAGAAGAAACAGAAAAACAAAACACTCTTGAGTTTCCGTAGATCAGGAAGTCTCAACTTTGGAACTATTGACGTTTGAGGGTAGATAATTCTTCTCAGTATGGTCCTTGTCCAGTGCACACTGTATAGTATTTATTGGAATCCTTGGCCTCTACCCACTAGATGGCACTAGCACCTTCCTCTAGTGATAACCAAAATGTCTTCTCACATTGCCAAATGTGCTTTGGGGAGCTGAATTGCTCCTGCTGTTGAGAACCACTGGTCTAGACACCCCCAGGAGAGCTCTACATCTGTACTAGTGGAGAAACAGTAGTAGTGAAAGGAGCAAGGACCCTCTTAGTGGATTTTCTAAGGTTCTTGAAATATAAGGTCTATTGGGCCAGCAGGTGGCATGGTGGTTAAGGTGTTGGAATTCCCACATAGCTGGCCATGGTTTGAGTCCCAGACTTGGCAGCTTGCTTTCTCACTCTCCTCTCTCTCTTCTCTCTCTCTTTTGTCTTTCTCTGGCAAAACTCATGTGAAAAATAATATTAACAATAATAAATTAATTTTTAAAAAGATATATAAGGTCTATTTACATTATAATGGCCCAGAGTAAGGGGTAAGTCTTCAGATTTTGGTTATGATAATGACCAACATGGACCATCAGTGAGGGCCATCTGACCTCTAAAACTCTCACTTAATGGAAAGATCAGGTTTTCATTTCAATATGTAAGATGTTTTGGAGGCTGGAAACTGCTAGCTGTGAGCTTAGAGACCCCAGGCTGAATGGCTCCAGAAACCTGAAGAGAAATTTGATTATCTAAGGCCTCACCAATCAAGAATGCCCAAGAGATGATCTTGTCCTCTTGAACCAATCACTAAACTGATCATGTACCTGGGACCTCTGCCCCTAATTTTGCCCTTAAAACACATGTGGGGAACATCTTGTGAGATGTCTTTTCACCATGAGCTGCCCGCTTTCCTTGCTTTGTGCTTTGCAATAAAGCTATACTTTCCTTCATCATACCATATGCCTATAGTGTTTTTTTAAATAATTATTTATTTAATTTTATTTATTCATTCATTTATTTTAATTTGACCAGAGAGAGATACACACACAGAAAGAGAGGGAAAGTGAGAAAGCAAGCCACCAGGTCCGGTATTTGAACCGCCATCGGCCATGTGGGAGTGTCCAGCACCCTAACCACCACGCCACCTGCTGGTCCCATATGGTGTGGTTTTATAGCACTTGGGCAAGTGAACCTGATTTGAGTTCGGTAACAGTAGTAGTTTATACTACTTTGGCAAACAAAAAACAAAACAAAGCTGAGATCTTGACTTCTGGCTTTGGACAACTACTGAAGGAAGAGGAATGTCTCTGGTAAGAGTTGAACAGAGGCAGGTTTCTGTTTTTTTTTTTTTGTTTGTTTGTTTTTGTTTTTGTTTTTTTTATGGAAATAAGAGGATGACCCTGCTATTCATGGGGAATTTGCCTCAGTCAAATCCTTAGACTTATTCTGAGCCAGAGGGTGAGGTAGACAGAGTAGTTGGAAATGACTCTCTGGATTCCTGTGTTCCTAGATTTCCCATTGGTCTTGCTTTTACCCATCCTCATCCTCATTTTTCTAAAGGGCAGAGAAGCAGACCAGCCTGAGCCGCCCCACACGGGTTCTAGTCCTCACACATAGATGCTGCCACAGGGCTATTGTGTTCTCAGGAAGTCAGCTGGTATTTTCCAGGGACACCCTGCACAGACCTGGTGCTTGCTTGACTCTAGAGAAGGAAATCAGCATCGGTGAGGTCATCAGTGCCTCTGTGGGACAAACCATGTGTACACCTTAGTAGGTCATGTCCACAGTCATGTGACAGGAAGACTGCCAACTCGAGGGACCTTAGCAGCGCTACTATTCTACCCGGGTGGGGCGGAGTGGCTGCCTAGTCCTCACAGTTGGCTTACCTGGAGGTGAACTTGGCATGCACGCTATAAATTGTGTGAGCATGTTTCTACCAGCGAGCCTGAGGAAAACTGACAATGCTTGATTGAAGGTTTGCTTTCCAAAACTTCCTTCCCTACTTCCTCTGTTGAAAATAAGTCTGTTATTGAAAATTCAATTAATTTGTCTTTGCCTTTAAAGCTAGTTTTGGGAGCCAGCTCAGTGGTATGGTTAAGGTGGCTGAATCCCATATGGTTGATTGTACAGTTCAAGTTTCGGACCCAGCAGCTTGAGAACCATGCGGTGTGGTGCCTGCTCAAAAATTCTAAGAGGAAAAAGGAGTACAAGGTATTGCAGTATGGTAATCCCCCTGGGGGGGGGGGGATGCTCAATCACCTGCATTCTCTCTTTCTCTCTCTC